AAAAAAAAAAAAAAAAAAAAAAAAAAAAAAAAAAAAAAAAAATTCAGGATTTTAAACGAGATCATGAATAGGTACAAACACAAACAAAAAAAAAAAAATTATTTGATAAATATTTTGTGAATCATAAATAAAAAAGTAAATAATAAGAGAATAAACTTACACCAATGAACGTATGCTTCTAATTGAGTCGGAAATGTGTCGAAATTTAGGTCAATGATGCCGATCCAAAAATCAAATTGGGGTTTTCCAAGCCACCAATCTAATATTACTCTCGTTTGAAACAGTGTTGTAAGAACATTAATTTCAATTATATCTTCATCAAAACAATCAGTATAAGAATATCCTACATCTCTCCATATTGGAGTTAAAAGTAATTGATTCTTCTTTGACCATAAATCATTAATGGTATGAACATAAGCTGACAAGGCTGTAAAATCAAAAATTCCTTTTACGTATGGTCCTGGTAAGTCGATCAGTTTATCAATGATCTTGCCGATCTGTTTCAATTTTGGTTCCAATATGGAAAGCACCGGAATATCATCCGTAGTGTAACTTGTATCCCGTAATGTATCGAAAACTTGTAATAGACTGTAATAAGGATGGCTTTCATCTTTTATATCTTCAGCTCGAAATTCGTCTGGTAAATATTTTAATTTCCAGCTACGATGAGGCAAGTCAGCAATAGTCCAAGCTTGTTGAGTCATATTGAAAGAACAAATTTTTAAAAAATTTGGTATGATCAACTATTAAAATATTCTCTTTTAAAAAGTGACCTTTCTTTACAACAAGAAGGTTCAGTCGTTAAAATAAATTGGAAAAAAAAAAAAATTTTAAAATGTAGTGGTTAGAAGAAGGAGTTGCGTAAAGAAAAAGTCTCTGCAAAATTGTGCCTGAAAAATTCTAAATTTATATTTGACACAGAGCTACACTATTTATTGTGTGACAATATCGGAAGTATGGAATTGTATCAGGCAATTCAGGCAATTGTAACTTGTGCTTTTGCAGTTAAAGGCTTGGGGCTTTTAAAATATAAACCAGTTGGGTATGCCCATGTGGGGTATTACCGCATTAAATTTCTTTTATATAATATTTTTTTTTTCTTGAAAAAACAATAAACAATAATAATAATAATAATAATAATAATAGTAGTAGTAATAATAATCAGTAGTAATTAATAATAGAAATAATAATAATTACTGGGGGAAATGAGAGAGTGAGAGGGAAATTTTTTTTTTTTTTTTTTTCTTGTTGTTAAATAAAATTGTATAAGTAAAATAAAGTAGTATAAAAATAGCATAAATAGACTCTACAAAAAGTTAGATATAATATGTAATAATTATTTTTATTAGATCATGATATTTTTAACCTGTGTAATAACTTGAGTATTTTTACCCCAAGCCAAAAATTTTTTTTATGGGGATCTAAAAAGCATCCCACATTATAAAAAATTAAACCCGATAAACAATCAAAATCTTTCGTAATCAAACAAAAACTTATTAGTATTAAATAAAATGAAATGAGAAATTATAGATATAATATCTCACGGTTTAATTTTTTCTATGATTACTGTATTACGTGATTCTTCTCACGGGCTAATTCCAATATATCTTGTTAATAATGTAATGGAATAATGGATTTTGGGTTAAATTGTCCAATAAATATCAACCAATCGGAGTAAACCGAGTTGACAATCTATAAACGATATTTTTTTTTAACGAATGAAATTTTTTTTGAAAAGAAGAAAAAAAAAAAAAAAAAAAAAAAGAATTCAAAACCTTCGATTAGAAGAAAAGAATGTTAATAAATTTTTTTTTTAATTAACAAAATAGATTTACAAATTGAGGATTTACTTCTGTACAAGATTTCTGCAATAATATTTTGATTGACATTTTAGATGCATTTTAATTTATAAACTTTAAATTTATAATTGATCACAAAATTCCATAATAATTCACTAATTTTCAAGGTACAATGGAAGTTTCCGGGTGATAATTTATCATTTTTTAAACAATATTAAAAGACTTATTGTAGTTACGATTCTTCCGGCTCAATATTTTATTTAAATTCCGAAAACTCGGTCTCACATTATTTAGTTATTACTCCATATTGTATCATATTTAATTGTCCACATAAAATTACTTCTATATCTAGAAAGTAAAAAGCGGAGAAACAAAATTGTGAAAGTGGAGAAATTTTGTTTCATACATCACATCCTGATATTAATAATCTTGGAATTTTTTGATTCGTTAGTTATAATATCAATAAACGCCAATATACTTTAAATGAAAATTAAAGTTTTATAATTTGAACGTGATTATACATATGATTACATATTTTTAATATATATTTAATATATTTTAATTAATATATTTACCAATATAAGGTTATAATAATTCCTCTTATTAGGATTATTTAATGGTAAAACTTTAATCACATGTAATCGAAATGGTTTTTTCCCGCCAAAAAAATATATATATCCTTTTCTTTTTTTTTTTGTATTACGATCACGCTCTATTTTTGCTATTATGGTTTCAACTTTAAAAAAAAAAAATTTTCTTTCAAAAAATAAATGAATCCAATTTAGTATAAAACATGTCCACTTTTTGAAATAACAAAAAAATAATATACTTTTATCGGATTAGTACAGTATTATCCAACCAAATTTTGTGAGATAGCTGTTTCCATGTCTGCCTGGGTCTCCTATATATATTAATATTGTCAGTATATTAAATTTTTATTAATAAATTTATTATCGTACTACCATTAATAACTTTAATACATCCAACATTTATGCTCTGGTGGTGGTGTTACCTTGTGTCATAAATTTAATTGAAGAATTAATATCATAAGAATCCTAATAAATACATAGCGATCAAAAATTAATTACGGTTTGAGAGAAAAAGTTCGGTATATCGTTGTTATAAATAATAAAATTATTTAGACTTAAATAATCAAATTTCATTTGTTAGCTTTAAATAAACTTATTAAACTTATCCGATATAATCAGTGATCTCATTCTACCTTTTTTTTTTTTTTCGTTTTTTTTTTTTTCAATGATAGAACTGCTTTTATTTACCAATTCAGCAATTTTGCTCAAGTTTTGGTTCTAAAAAGTATTAATTAAAATTTCAGCCGAATAAAATTTAACCCATATAGTCATCGATAGTACGTTAATTATTACTTATGATAAATTAAAGCCAGTATTTGTCCGGTTCATTTACTATATTGACAAAAGCCGTAATAATGTTTTGTTGTTTTTTTAAACAAGAATAATTTTGTATCCAATCAAAAAGTTGAGTTTGAATTTTCTAGTATATTTATAACTATTTATACCGTATATAAATGAGTAAATTTAAAACAATTACTTGCTTATTGTGGACTTTTTATTAATAGTATATTAATAGTATATTCATTATTTTTACTATCATCATTTATAGAAAATACGTTAATTATTTGCATTACTGCGTACTTTTTTTTAATCGACAAAATTATGTTGTACGTGGCTAAGCTTTCCCGAATTTTTATAAATTAATTCGGTTCGATCAATTTATCATCGTATTATATTACGGTAATAAAATTTCAAAGCAAAGCCACATCGAACAATTGTTCGCTCCCGAATTCATCTTTTAAAATATGAAAAGAGGTTAAGAAAGGTTAAGGAAATTTAAATGTGGCTTATGTTTATCATATATCATATGTACATATATACACCTATATATATATCATATCTATCATAATAAAATTAATTTTCACACGAATCGCTAGAAGAAAAAAAATCAAAATGAAAAGAAGAAAGGCTCAGAATGCTGAAAGAACGGTATATCAAAAAACTTAAATGTAATTTATCATTTTTAATGATTAAATCTTAAATTGCTAAAAATCCTTATATTTAGCCGTATAATATTGCTGCTATATTGCAACTTGGATTAATCGTGTTTGATTTTGTAATGGATATTCTTTTCGCGTCTAAAAAGGCTCCTGAAGTAACGAACCTCTTTATTCCAAAGTAAGGTGTAATCTTACTAAAATATATATTCCTTAATCACTAATTCTTTCTAATGACTTATATCATCTCTTACGTTCTTCATTAGTACCATAATATTAATTCTATCATTAACAATAAATTTTATACTCGCATTATATATAATAACAAATGAAAAATATTTAAATCAAGATTTTGCAAAATGGTCAAACTCACATAAGACAGTTATATCAATTTTCGCCTTAATTTCAAGTGCTGATATTGAAGCATTAAATATTTTGCAAAGTTTTGGTTTTTTTAAAAGTGATTTTAGTGAACAAACTACGGGAAAAATTTTTTGGGGTGCTTGTTTAGATATTTTTATTGAAGATATACCTCAGCTCATAATTCAAGTAAGTAATAATAATTTATTTTAATTTTTAAAAGAGAGTTATTTATTAAATTTTTTTTTTTTTTTTTTTCTCTTTCCCTTCAATTATAGATATTATATTTTCGAAGTGTACTTTATTATGATGTAATATCTTTATTAACATTGGCTTCATCTAGTTTAACGCTTACAGTACACATAATTGGTAGATTTTATCAGACAATACGTCCATCACGTCCTAAATCAACATCTGGTCATCCTTTACAAATACACAAACGTGAAATTCAATCTTCAGATCAAGGAAAGGAAAGTAGTAAAGGAAAATTACCAGAAGTTGTAGTTGATACTCAGAAGGCTGATGATAATAAAGAACTTCTTAAAAATCGTAGTTCTATTAGTAGTTTTAAAGAAGTGTTGCCTTAAATTAAAAAAATAAGAAGGGAAGGGAGGAAAAGAGAAAAGAGAGAATTATTCATACGTGTATATATTTATTATTATTATTATTATTATTTTTTTTATAAAACATTTTATATATTTAAATTTATAATGTCGGTAGAAGCTATGGCTTTACTTAAAAAAGTATAAAGTTACATAAGCCAAAGTAATTATATAAATTAATAGGTTTGTTACCTGATACAAAATTTTTAAATTTATATTGGTATAAAAAAAATAAAGATACTGTAATATATAAAGTTATTTTAAGGGGTCAATACTTTTTATTTTTAACTGAATTTATACTACTATTTTTAATATAAATAAAAGTAAATAATAGCTACTATATATTAAAAAAAAACTTTTATTTTCTTTCATTTTGCAAAATGCATACTTTTATTATATAAAAATATATACTTATTATAAAGTAGTGTTTATATTATAAAAAAGATTGGTAATCATGAATTATATACTGTATACAGTTAAACCTTTTATAATCACACCCTTAGGATCATTCAATGGTGTGATTATAATGAAGTGTGCCTATTGGTAAGGGTATTAATCCAGTACTTTCATATATAAATAAATATGATTATATATTATATAAAATATTTGCAAAAATATTTCATAATATAAAATATGCTTAAAATTATTTATCTGTTAAAAATATTATGGAAATTTTTGAAAAATAAAAACTTTTCCTATTATCAAGTAATTTGAGTTTAGAGTGCAGACTACATAATATATATCTTATTAGTTATTTTATTAAATCACATGATTCATATGCTTATACAGGGGGAATTTTTATATATATTTATTATAATACGAAACTGACAATTGGTTTAATTATACTTATAATTATAGAAGGAGTATTTATATATAAAAAAATTGGCATCAAAAAACTGTATTGCCAAAATTTAATATAATTTGAAATTTGAAATTTTGGAATTTGTTATTATATAAAAATTTCAAAATTGGCAATTTTTAAATTGCCAATTTTGAATTTAAAAGATATATATATTATAAATAATTTAAAAATAACTAAATTTATAGTTATTATTATTTAATTAAAAAAAAAACTTTTACCTACAGATTAGTTTCTTATAAAAAATAGAAGTTATTTTTTGAAGAAAGTATATAGGAAAAGCTGTCATAGATATAAAACAATATCTTTTTTGAAGAGTTTTATATATATACAATTTAAACATATCAATAGCAAATGTAACCATTAAATATTTTACTGAAAAATTAAAAAACAAGTAAAAATACAACTTTACAGTACAGATATACTAGACTTTTTACAAATGGATATGCAGCATTAAAAATCTTTTTACAAAAGCAAAAATACTTACTGTCACCTAAACCTTTTAATATTAAAAAAAAACTAACTATTTTTAAGACTTTAGTAAAATTCTTTAAAATTAAAATTATTACTATTGTTCTGATGATCTTTAGAAAGTTTTATCTGAATATTACTAGAATATTCCAGAATAATTAGGATTAACAAATTCAATTAATAGACAATATAATAGATATGACTCACATAAACTTCATTTTGAAATAAAATGATGCAAATTTATCAAATGATAATTCAAATTCACTAAATATAGTAATTTCTGATACATCATACTAATCACAATCAGTACAACTTTATACAAAGAAATTATCTATACCATCTATTATTTTAGACAAAAATTTAAAAAAGAAAAAAAGTTCAGAAAAAAGCAAAAGCAGCCAATTTTTATTAATAAAATTATATTAAAGTAAAAGAAGCATTACTTGCAAAACTAGTAGCTTAATAAATTAAAAGAAAGTAAATTAGTATTTAAGTCAAAACTAGTTTTTGTAAAAAATGACAAAAAAATCAAAAATATCAAGACTACTTTACAGAAACTTATCATTTTTAATCAATATAAAATCGATATTATTAAGTTTATCTTAATGGTATTGTTTTGATATCATTTTGATATTATTTCAATATCGATTTAATATCAATGTAATATTGAAATAAAGTATTATCATTTTGATATCATATCGATATTAAATTAATATCACATGGCATAGTAGTTAGCAAATTAGTTATAGTTTTTTTTTTATTTACAAACTAGTATAGCAATTTATGTATATGTAGAGTAAAAAAAAACCCAATATAGTCAAATGTACAAATGCTTTAGACCAGTGATGTGCTCTTGGAATATTGGAAGCACTATTGGAAGCACCTTTGGAAAAATTGGAAGCATAATTTTCTAATAAAACCATTTGGATTGGAAGTTTCCAACCAAATTTTTATGTCATTGGAAGTACAAATGCACATCACTGCTTTAGACTTAAGATGAGTATCAGAATAATTTTAATCTGTGTTATTTTTCAAGTCTATGCATTTTTGAATGTTAGTTAAATATTCAATGAAGATGAAATATCATTGAAAAATTATATGCATATTTTGTTTTGAAATACTGATTACTTTATCTTTTGAACAAAAATAGTGCAATAAATAATATTTCTTGTAAAAGATCCCAAAATATGTCTAACATGCAATAAAGTAAACACTTTTATATATAAAAAAGAAGCAATTTATTTTTCCAATGCACATGCTACAAGTATACACAGTACTTTAAAAAAATACAAGCAAATTAACTGTTAATAGTATATGAATTATAATTACAAATAACTAAAAGTTAAATGTTATTGATACGATTTTATATTACTCTGTTATAGTAAATACAATTTATCACATCTTCTGTTTTGAAAAAAAAATATTAAGTGCTTTTCTTTCTAGCCTTTTTTTTTGGTATAATTTCAATTACATACTTATCCACATTTTCAATTTTAACGGGTTTGTTTACTAACTTAACTGTTTTTAAAACATTGCACTGTAATAATAAAATAAAATCCTATCAGTATCCTATTAGGACCTCTATGAATATTAATTACCAATTTGTTACCTAAAAATTCATTAGCATTTTTATATTCATAGAAAATTGTTCTATGTCATCAAAAAAGGTTGAAAAATAAGGAAAACTTACAAATATTTTATGATATCATGCATAATGTCGTATCCTTCATAAAGAAATGGATCAAAATATTCTTTATTAATAAAAGATTTTTGAATTAAACTTAAAACTTTGACTTGATTATAGGCATCATCTGTAAATTGATCCCAGTAATTTTTAAATTCAGACGTTGAAATCTAAGCCTATTTCTCTAATACTTTATCAAGATATAGCTTTTGATCAAAATTTAATGTAGATAGTGTTTCGTGCTTTATTTCATTATCAGTTAGATCAATGATGTTATTAATATAAGAAAATTAGAATTCATAAAAGTCTTTCCTAATAAATGGTCTTTGGATTTGAATTTATTAAGAATTTCAATTAGAGTTTTTAAAGTAACATTTCATCTGGTTATAGTGATTTCACCTGAAAAATTGAGCAAAAATAAGTATATAGAATAACTAATGTATAAAGCAGAAGGCATAATATCTCAAGCGAATCATTAAACAATTCTAATATGAGATCATTATCCAATTCTGAGATTCCTTAGTTTTATCTTTCACGAATCTGAAAAAATCTTTCTCAACTGAATTAGAAGGGGTTTAGATATATCTTATTCATTTATTTTGTAACTCTTCATGATCATCCTGTTCTTTTGTCAGAATCTCAGATTCTAATATGCATTTTGGTATCCTTATCGTTTCATTACTAAATTCAATAAAACTATCAGAAACACACTGATGAATTTTAGATACTACTTCTGCATTATTTTATAGTTGAAAAACCTGTAATATAATATATATCAAAATTGTTTAGTAAAGATAATATATTATAACTATGTTTTGTAAAAAAAACTGGATATCTTAATATATTCTATCTCAGCAAGCTCAATAACTTTTTCATTTTTTATCGATTGTAACTTTCACTTTATCTAATATCAAATTTCAAGCTATTCAAAATACTTCATTGTTGTTGATACTTGGTAAGGATTTTTATGCCTGTTATCGTAAAACATAAAAGAAATAATTAAATTTGGCCAATAATACATAAATAAAAATTAAGCTCTTATTATTTAAAGAGCATAAAAGGTCATAACAAACTAATAACAATCCAACACATGATAACTAATAGTTCCAGTATTTCACAAAAGGCTGAAGAGAAGGATCAACTAGCAGTCAATCTTCCAGTTAATTAACAGTCTCTTGGCTCAACTAACAGTCACTTCATGATATATACAATTCTATCTTAAACATATACTATTTATATACTATAACACTCACCTGAAATTCTTTACAAAAATCTTTTGCCTTTTGTTATATGTTCTCCTTAATCAACTTGTTATTATCAGTCTTCTCAAGTCATTTCTTTATGTAATCAAAAATCTTCACTTTGTCACCTTTAAGCTTTTCATACAAACCATACCAAAAAACAAAATCATTAAGATTTCACAGCTCTGGTAAAGTAATTTGTAGATAGTTATCTATCTTAACAACCTTTATAATAGTCTGATAATGGTGTAATCCTTGAAATCAGGATAATCATGTAATCAGATGAATAAAGGACTGAACGGAACATGGATAAACATTTAACTGATAAAAGAATATTTAACCAAGATAATTGAAGAGCATAATGTTATAATTACACAATATTTATTATAATTACTTATTTATAGTTTAGTTATTTATAGTTTAGTTATTTATAGTTAGTTATATTTAGATTAGTTATATTTAGTTTAGATATTATTAGTTTAATTATAAATAATTTATCATTGTGTCAATAAAACTATTGTATCAATGAAATGATTATATCAATGAGAATTCATTGTGTAAATAGGAATAATCATTACTCAAAAATGGGCGTAATTAGATGGAACTAGATGGAAGGATTACATTATACGAGTCATAATGAATTATAGTCTTAGAATCTTATAGAATATTATAATTTAGTGAAATATCATAATGTATAAAAAGATTGACTTTTGACTTTGGTCAACAGCTTTTGCTCAATTGATGATTTAATATTAATAAAGAGTTATCATTGTAGTTTTATCATGAAAAATGATTAATAATTAATGATTCAATCAAAAAGTACCAAGTTCAGAATAAAAGAGAATTTATTATGAAAAATTTATTTAACCTAAGAGAGGTTATTGCAGTTTGAAAGTTAAAATTTAAGAATATAAAAAGAGTTAAAGAATTATTAAAATCTAAACTAAGTGTAATAAAAAATTGAAGAAATGTTTGTAAGAGAAATTGTGTTCATCCACGGATGGCAGACATGATGATAATGGAGAAGAGTTACATGATTATGATCATATTTTTATATAGTGATTTGTATAATATTTGATCACAATTACAATTTAAAGTGTTTCTACACATGTAATTGGCTATTGATTGAAGAAATACAATTAATTAAAATATTACACTTTTTAGCCTATTAGTGGTTAACTTCATGAAAAAAAAAACAATAATTAAAATTTTATTTTTGATCTATTGAGTTAAGTGCTTTACACTACATATCAAGAATAGCAGTCACATGATCTTACGGTTTAAAAACTTGAAGAAACTTTATCCCTATAAAAAGTATTATATTTAAAATATATTTAAAATATACTTGATTTAAAAATTGCAAAAATACTTATAATATATTTTTAATATATCTAAAATATACTTAAAATTATCTTCATATGCACAGATTTTAACTCTAATCCCAATTTTTGAGACGTAACCCCAAATGACGGTCATGTTAAATTGGATATGATAACACTACATCAAACTATTTTATTGGTCAATCTAATCTGTAATACAAATTTCTTGCAAAAAAAAAAATCCACAAAACTTTGTAAAATAATTATGCGGTTTAAAAATTTATTCCTAGCTTCTAATTTGCAAATGTCTAACACACAAGAAATTCATAATTACCCCTTTGACCCAATTATTAATTTAAAAAAATCAGGACATAGTTTTTCATATAAAATTATAAAAGAAGGAACGTATCCTAATAAATCTTTATTAGCGTACACTCTTCCTCCTAATAAATATCAAATCCCTGATGATTATATGGTAGAAACAACTTGGAGTAGAAGTAATAATCGATGTGTTGTTCAGTGTTTTATTAATTATATTGATAATAAACCAGTTTTTCAAATCTGGTTTGGAAAGTGGTTTGAACATGTAGTTTCTTCAGTTAGAAGTGCTACAGATGTTACAAATTTATTTCATAAAGTTTGTATACTAAATTATTTTTTTTTAGTTTTTCTATTTTTTTCTATATATAAATTAACTTTAAAATATTTATTTCAGGAATATACATCTTTAAAAAAAACAAAAACATCAGGAATTTATTTGTTTGATCTTCATCTCAAAACATTAGAAATGGCAAGAAAAGGCAAATGACGTGCACATATATTAAAACCAATTGACCAATGTGGAAATTCCACCCTTACAAAACATGCTATGAGTATTGGAAAACATATATTAGCTAAATTTAACGAAAAAATACAGAAACTATATAATTTGGAAGACGTACCAGCATTGGAAAATATATGTTATTCTGTTAATAAAAAACATACTTTTAATATTAGTTACGAGAATGAAGATAAAACTAAAAAAAAACAAAAACTTGAATCAATAGTTAAAGCATTAGACGAAGGAAATATTCCAAGAGATTCTTATAGACGTCTATGTAACCTACCACGTGAAGGAGAAATATCTAAAGAACGTATAAATATAAATAAAATAATGGTCCAGCTCATACCAATAACAATAATAGATATAAATACTAAAAGTCAAGTGGATGAATCTGAAGGAGTAGATATAGATGATGAATCTATAACACAAGAAGTAATTAATGCAGTTGGTAAAAGTGGCTATAGAAATATTAATAATATATTGTATTATTTAGTTTCTAACCTTGTTCAAAAAGACATCTTGAATCCAGATCAGCCCATAATTAATCTTCAAATCTCTGAAGATGGGTGAAATGTAGGAAGAAAAGTAAAACATGTAATCATCACAGTGGCTATTTTAGATGATAAAAATACTTCACACAAACCAGATCATCATTATATGACCATACTCTATCCTGGATGTGAAGATTACAACTTTCTATCAAATGCAATGACTCGATTCTGCCATGATCTAAGAAATTTAAAAGAAGGACTGGTAATTGATAATGTAAAGTGGAATTTTCAATTTTATTTTTCATTTGACTGGAAGTTCTTAGCAATCTGTTTGGGTTTTAATAGCACTCATAGTAAAAATTTCTGCCCTTGGTGTACAATTGATAAATCACAACAAGGAGATCTATCAAAAGAATGGAAGATTATTAAAGAAATAGATAAGTTAGTTGAACAAAATAATTACTATAAAGGACATATAAGAAAACCACTTTTTGATATAATACCTTTTAATCACTGGGTTCCTGATGAATTGCACATTATACTTAGAATTACTAATCATTTATGGAGTCTTATGATAGCAGAATTAACAGAATATAGTTTGTTTAATGATACTGCATGAAAGATAATTGTAGAGAAAATGAAAAGAATTAAAGTTAAGTTTCAATTCTGGCAAATTTAAGAATCTAAAACTTGGAGCTACACATCATTAATGGGAAATGATAAGATCAAAGTATTACAATTCTTTGATTTATTAAAAATTCTTTCAAAACAACGTGCTAATATGATACGAAATCTATGGAATAAATTTTATGAACTCTATATAAAAATGAAGGACCAAAAAACAAATGCCGAAGAATTTCAAAATGACGCAAAGAATTGGCTTACTTTATTCTTAACGCCATCTGAAGGTATTCCAAATACAGTCGACCCCCTTTATAGGCACCTCCCATATAAGAACTCCCCTCATTAAGGCACACATTTTTTAGTCCAGATTTTTTTATATATAAAATACCCCTTTTATAATCACTTTATTAGTTATAAGTACAATCACACCAAACGTCGGTCCCATATTATAGTAAATATATGTAAAATTCCCCCTGCATAAGCACACAAATCACGTGATTTATAAAATAACTGTGCGTTTCATTTTATTATTTTGTTGTTTTACCATGAGGAAAAATTTAAGTTTTTTATTTTTCAAAAATTTGATGGTTTTTACATATAAACTTTTTTACTTAATTATTATTATTATATATATATATATATATATAATCACGTTTACTTAAAAATTTATATATGTGTGATTATATATTTAACCCTCACCAATAGGCACACCTCATTATAATCACACCATTGGATGGTCCCGAAGGGTGTGATTGTAGAGGGGGCTGACTGTACTCAAGGATTCAAAAAAGGTCTTTATAAACCTAATGATATGACACCTTACATTCATGTGTTAGTCCATCACGTTTCTGAATTTATGACAATTCATCAAAAATGAGGATTAAAATCATTTTCATGTAGTGCAGTGGAAAAAAAATCATCAGCAAGTTTCTTATTTTTTTCGTAAAACAATGAAAAATGGAAGTAGAAAATCCAACTCATCAGCAATTATTGAGATCTTAAAACATGAAAATCGATCTCTTTTTTACAATTACCATAATGTTTCCTTAAACTCTCAAAAACCTCATAAAATTCATATTAAAGCTGAAAATAATTAGAATGAAAATGCTTAATATACTTTGATACTGTTTTTTTCGTGTTCAAATAATCTATTTTATTCAATCATAGCCTGGCTATTGTAAAAATGAAAATAAATGTGACCTGCGTGAGTGAAATTACCATTAAAATCAGTACTTTTTTGTTTTTTTCATTCTACTACTAATTGACCATGTACGCATTTTGGTTTGCGTAATTTTTTAATTGTTTCATAAGTTAATACAGCTGTAATAGGATTTTTGTCCTTATCTTCAATATTATTGTCATCATCACAAAGTACAACATAAGTATATTGCCGTTGATCGTAAAATTTAGTCTCCCAACCTTCCATCTCTAGAATATTTGCTAATATTTGATTTAATGAACCTCCACAAAATATACATTTGTAAATACCCTTTGTAGCAGAGTAGTAATGTATATAGTTTTTAAATACTGTATAAAACTAACTTTCAGTAGTGGGAATAGAAACTGTTTGTTTTCCTAATTGCCTATATCCTTTTGGTAATCTTTTGCGAATATAGTGAACTAAGATGGCTTTAAATTGGTGTACGGTATTATCAGGTAAAGCATCAATATCTGGACGTAAAGAGTTGTATTTTATAATAGTATTTAAATGTCTAGTCAATCCCCCTTTTTTTAAACAGTTTTCCACATATATTACATTCAAATCTTGAATCATTAGTTGTTGAAGTTGTTATTTGAGTTGCTGTTAAAGGTGGAAGAGCACTGGTAGAAACTACAGCTTGATTCATATTACCATACCTAAAATATAAAAAAAAACACTTTATTAATTAAAAATATTAAATACTGTTGTAAACTTTATTCAAATTAATACGCGAAATTTACAAATAACAAAAATTTTACAAGTAAACTACCTTTGAATTACTAAATGTAGTTTAAATAAAGTTAAAAAAATATTTTTTTGTATATAGAAATAGAATAGTACATTCAACATATTTTACCTTTGAAGGAGATTAGTTTCGTAGAGAGGAGATTGGTTTGACGTGATAGTTACTATTAAATTTTTTTTTTAGGGTTTTTCAGTGAGAGAGTTTAACGCTTGACATATGATTGTTGTGTAACATTTACGATAATTACATGCAATTTTAATAGTAATTTGGAGGCCTTAATTTTGGTCTAATTCCGATAATAAGTTGATATGTAAAATATATTTCTAATATATTTAATTTTTGCCCATATACTTAAAATATATTATAAAATAGAAATAATGTATTTACCGCACCCTGCGTTACAAATTTATATATATATTTATGTTTATCATTTGCCATTTTAGGGGGGGTGCGGTGTATAAACTAAAGATCGACATAAACAATTTACAAAAAAGGAAGGATGCATTGTAACGCAGGGTGCGGTAAATAAATTCACTCTATAAAATATATTATAAGTATATTTTAAGTATGTAAAAATATACCTATAATATACTTAAGTTTTAATTTAAGTATAATTTAAGTATAATTTAAGTATTTGGGCAAAAATTAAATATATTAGAAATATATTTTAAGATAATTTTAAATACATTTTAAGTATATTATAAGTATTTCACAATTTTTAAATTAAATATATTTTAAATATATTTTAAATATAAATACTTTTTATAGAGTATTAATAATTTTCAGATACATTAATAAATTATAATGAGGAAAACGCTAGAGAAATAAATGAAATAAATGATGCTATTAATGAGGGAAGGAGTTTACAAATCCTAAGCCATAAATGAGAGTCTCAGCTATACATGACCTGGTAAATCATTGGCCAAAAACGTAATTCGTAATTCAAAATACGTAAATAATTACGTATTTCGTAAATAATTACGTTTAACGTAATTATTTATGACTTCATAATTAATCAAATGTACCTGTAAATAATTTACGTTTATCGTAATTATTTATGATGTACATAATTGATCGGAATAGATTTGATTAGATTATCAATTCCAATCATTAAAAATGTACTTTTTTTTTAGATTGTATTTTTTTTATTTAATAAATAAATAATAATAAGTTTTAGCTTCCAGACATCTGTGGATAAGTATATGGAGGCGGTCTCTTTTAAAATTTATTTTGAAGAAACGTACTAACGTTTCTTTCTTTTTATTTTTTGTAGATTTTAGTTTCTAAGAATATGGGTACATGTATAGGGGCGGATTCTTTTGAAATTTACGTACTAACATTTTTTTCTTTTTATTTTTTTGTAGATTTTAGTTTAGAACACAAGACACAAGTATGTGTATGCGGGATTCTTTCAAAATTTACTTTGAAGAAATGTCTAACGTTTCTTTCTTTTTATTTTTTTATAGATTTCAGTTTTTAAGAATACAGGTACGTGTATAGGGATGGGTTTTTTCAAAATTTACTTTGAAGAAATATACTAATGTTTCTTTTTTTTTATTTTTTGTAGATTTCAGTTTTTTATAATACAGGTACATATATAAAGGCGGGTTCTTTTAAAATTTATTTTGAAGAAACATACTAACATTTCTTTTTTTTTTATTTTTGTAGATTTCAGTTTCTTATAATACAGATACATATATAGAGGCAGGGTTCTTTTGAAATTTACTTTGAAGAAACGTTAACGTTTCTTTCTTTTTATTTTTTGTAAATTTCAGTTTCTAAGAACACCGGTATGTGTATAGAGACGAGTTCTTTTGAAATTTATTTTGAAGAAACATGGGTATGTGTATAGGGGCGGGTTCTTTTAAAATTTACTTTGAAAAAATGTACTAATGTTTCTTATTTTTTGTAGATTCAGTTTCTTAGAATACAAGTACGTGTGTGAGGGCAGATTTTTTTGAAATTTACTTTGAAGAAACGTACGTTTCTTTCTTTTTATTTTTTGTAGATTTCAGTTTCTGAAAATCTAAAGTAGATTGTTAAATTAGATCATTAAATATTATTAATCTATTTCGTTAAGCATTAAATAAAAACTGTTAAACATTAGTAAAATTATACAAAATTGTTAAAAATAAATTAAATGAAATAATGTATTAAATTATTGTCTTTAAAATAAATTAAGAAGAAATTCTTCATGTTAAAACACAAAATTGTTAGAAGCTTTTATTCAAAATTTTGAAAGAAATAAAGAAATAAAACAAATCAAAATATACAACAAATGAATATGAGTTATGGACTATCTAAACATTAACATCATCATCTTCACTAAATTGTTGGTCTAATAATTTCTCTATATCAAAATTTTCATTACCGTGGTCAACAATATGATCAACATTTACGGGTTCAATAACTACTCGCAGCTCTTGAAGTTTTAATAATTCCACTAGCTTCTTTGATACAAAATTAAAATAGTTTTTACTTTGTAAAATACTATCATTACTTTTATACCCAAATTTTTCATACTCTTCTATGTCAATAAGTTCGTCTTCTGTATCACCATAATCTTTGTCTTCATTATCTAATTCTTCCTTTCCAATTTCATCATTAATATTTTGATATATACCATTTCTTAATAATTGATAAAACTCTTCATCATTTTTGACATTCATATCTCTAGCCATATACTTTAATTCAGTTTTCGCTTTTGAAACATAATATGTGTGAAGTTTCGTAAGATTTTGTAAATGATTTACACTTAATCTAATTGAAAGGAATTACTTAAAATATAAAATTCAAAAAAAAATTAATAACTAGCAATAATAAAATAAATATTTACCAAGTTCTCCTTTTATTCATATACCAACCCATCACAAAAAATATTCTCTCATATCCTGCATTGTGTGGAGTTATTGAAAATATTTTTAATGCAAGTTGTTGAATAAAATTTTCTTCTCCTTCATCTTGTTTTACATAACTTCACCAACGCTCAATTGTATAATATTTAGGAACAAATTCATTATTATAAGAAGAAAGATTATCACGAAAAGTAGCAATTTGCATAATTAATTTGGAACTGGAATTTTCTCTGCCTCCCATTTTTATCCATATATTTTCAATTGCCCAATAAACTACTTTATGGCATACTTGATTTTAGAATCCTTTACCTATGATTAGAGCTCCGAAACCTGACTCGACAGATCAGGTGACCCAACGGGTTGACCCGAAATATTCAGGTCAAGTCATCAAATTCATGACCTAACACAGGTCAGGTCAGTGCTGGTCGGTACCCGATCTGACCTGTTGACCCGACATATATTTGGGTCAAATAAATTAAATAACGCTGAAACTTATAATGATTCTGGCATTTTTACATGTAAAATCAAAAAAAAAATGCTGAAACTATCAGCTTCAGCATTTTTACATGTAAAATCAAAAAGAAAAATGCTGGAACTAATGATTCTAGCGTTTTTACATGTAAAATCAAAAAGGAAAACGCTGGAACTAATTATTCCAGCACTTTTATAAGCCTAAAAGTAAAAATCTATTATTTGCAATATTAAAAATAAGATTTTTTTACTTTTAAGCCTATAAATAAGTTTTTTATTTTTATTAATAGGTATTAGTTAAAAGTTTAATATAATGTAAATTTAAGCAGATTATTACATACAAGTTATAAATTAAACAAATACTACTAAAGTATTATTATTAAAATAATCTATTCAAATTGGTGAATACATCCAAAAAAAAAGCATATTGTAAAAGAATATATAATAAAACAAAAAAATCCATAACAATAATATAAAAATTATAAAATGACCACTATTTCTAATATACCAAATTTAAAAATCCAGATAAAATGAAGTTTGTACTTGTAGATTAGCTATAAATTGAAACTGCCAGCCTCTGGTTGGTAAATACCTTCCATACTGATTGATAAAAATAAATTTCTTAAGTAATTATATTACCAGAGTTAGTAAACTATTTAAACTAAATAAATAATTTAAATCACAAAAAAAAACCCTATAATAATCCAAATATATGCTACTTTGATTTTATCTAACCAAAAACTAATCACTAAAATCTGCATTATTCTTAAATTACATCTAATTCTTTCAAAAAATGATTACCAAACCACCTGATATCAATTATTTTTGAAATATCTCTCTATTTTTCAGAAAAACTTCAAAAAGTAAAGGCAAAAAGAAAGATAAAAAAATTCATAACTCTTAAGAAAACCAACCTGAAAGAGCAAAAACCTAGATAAAGAAGAAAACTTTACAAAACTATTACCAGGAATAGAGATGCTGGGCGAAACCGAAATATTTAGTCATTTGACGAAACCGAAATAGTTTAGACATTTAAAATTAAAAGACGAAATGCTGAAATTCAATATTCCATGGTATTTCTATGGATTTTTTATAAATTTCCATGGATTTTTAATTATAATAATTATTTAAAAAAATAAATTTTTATTAAAATATAATATTTTTTAAAAAGAATTTATAAAACTATTATAAATATAATTAATTTTATATATTTTTATAATAAAACTATAATTTTATATAATTAAAATTAAAATTAAAAATTATTATTATATAGTTTAGTCAATGATGAAACCAAAACTAGTTGGTGACGAAACCAAAATTTTTTGCAAAAAGAGTTTAGGCAGGCATCACTAACCAGGAATAACATTTTATTATGAAGAAAATGAACTTTCACCATTTAACAAACCAGAAATTTCTTTCTTTTAGCTTGGAATCTTTAACCTTGTAGCTAAAGTCACTCAAAAAAAATGTGAGTAAGTATTACTGGATCCAATAAACACAAGTTGAAAAGTGAAAAATCAGGCATCAATCAGTCATCAATTGGTGACTGATTGATGCTTGATTTTTCACTTTTCAACCTGTAAAAGACAAGTAGCAGAAACTAAGTTGGTATTTTAACCAAATATTTAAGCAACTTCTTTAAATAAATGTATTTTAAAATAAGTGAAATATTATTTTCATCATAAAAAATGAGAGAAAGGAGAATTTCAGCAGTATAAACTGATTACTAATTGGATGGATTAATTATACCTTATAAATAAAGTTTATATACTTTTAAAAAAAAATATATAATTTGATATTTTTTATACTGTATACATAGGTTAAAATGAACCATTACCAAATTTGAATATAAAAAAAAAACTTTTTAATAAATAGTAATCACTGTCTTTTAGATTTTTCAAATTTGTCTCAAATCTCAAATTCAAAAAAAATTATAGTATAATTTTGTAGAACAAGTAAAATAAGTCTTAATATATTAAACGATAAATATCAAATTATAAAACAATAAATAATTTATATCATATCACACTCTTTTAAATTAAAAAGGTGCATATCCACCTGGAGGTATTCTAATAAACTTCATTTTCCTCTCATAATTTTCCCAAACAGTATACTCAGCATCTTTATACAATTCAATCTTAATTCCTAATGCTTTCTCATAATCTTTTGTATTATCATTAGTAAGACTACTTTCACTTAAGTATTTATTAAGAGCTTTAAGTGCATTACCATATCGATTTGCACGACGTTCACGAATAATATAAGTAAGTAAATTCTTAAAATCTGATGTTGGTGGTGTAGCATCCCACCATTGCGCAAGTGCTTTATAAGTTTCTTCGAACCGTGTTGCTGCGATATTTGATGATGATGATGTGGAATCACTTGCAAGAGCTGCCAATGCTTGAGCTTTCGCACGTAAAGCTGATACAACTGCTTTCTTTTTTTCATCATTCTCTTTTTTTTTCTTTTTAGCTGTTTCATTAATATTTCCTTCCTGTTTAATACCATAATATTGTGCTAATTCTGTTAAATCAACTTTCTTTAATATTTCGTCTGCAACCTCCAAAACTTTATTAGCAGTTTCAGGAGATAGAGTTTCGTCAGATTCCAATAATAAATCTAATTTAGCTATAAAGACTGGCAAATGTGTTGGATGATTATTTTCAAGTTCTGCAAGTATTTCAGCACGCTGTGTAGATTCTGCTGGAAATTTTTTCAGATGAGTAATTTGTAGATCGCGAATAGCTTCGGTTAAATCTTCTACTGCTTTATCTTCTTTGGTTTTTTCAGGTTTAGGGGTTTCATCAAATTCACTACTACTTTCTTTTCCACTTTCTTCATCACCATTTGGAGTAATTTCTTTAGGTTTAGTAGGGGCAGGCGGAACTACCAAATTGATCAAATATTGACCACCATCAACTTTATTTGAACTCACAAAGTTAAGCTTTCCGGATAATATATCACCAGGTTTAGCTTCCTTAGGGTAGGTAGAATAATCGGTTGGTGATCCAATGAAATATGCTATTATAGAATCTTTTTCCAAGGATCTCTTATTTGCAGTTGGTTTGTTGGATGTAAAAACTTCAGAAACTTGATTGTATACTTCAAGAGTAATCTTTTTTGAAAGATTAAATTCCAAAAAGCATATTGTATTGTTTAATTTTTCCAAAATTTCTTGTGAATGATGACGTACTTGGGCTCGAATGACATAATCTCCTTTAGTTTCTAGCTTTATATTCTTTGCGTAGATATCAAGATAACCAATAACCTTTTTATTCGGATCATAAACTATTAAAATAAAGAATATATATTAACTGTCTATTTTTTAGAAAGATTTTTTAATTATCATGAAAGTAGATCTCACCAAATGCAAAGAAATCCTCAAAATAAGAATCATATAATAAATCAAAGAATGCAGGAAACTTTGGTGTAAAAGTTACATTCTTATCAGTCGTACTAAATTTATAAGTTAACAAAAGACCATATACTCTTCGGGAATTCGGAAGAACATCACGATCAGGACTTAGTGGTTTCAATGAGTATTCGGCTGGACGCAATGGTTTACGAAGAACATCTAAAATTTAAATAGTAAAGATCAATAATTCAAATTCTATATCATTAATAAATGTATGAATAAACATTACCTAACGAAATTGAAGGATGAAGTTCGTCCTCTCTTCGGACTGGTGTTACAACATCTATTCGAGTGTATGCTTCCCCGCCATTCACATATATGGTATCACCGTTATTCGCATTGTTGGCAATTTGAATACCATGAAAAACAAATTCTAGCGAAACAGTATGATTTCCCAAACTAGACCAAAATTGAGCCAAACAAATCTAACATAATATTATATATAATTATTACAAAATATTAATTAATTTTCAAATAATACTACATACCTCTATCGTTACTCCACCATGAACAGCAAATCGTTTTTTTTCAACTTGCTCTTCTCCATTACCATCACCATAACTACCTTGACCAAGCGAGAATATATATACACGTTCATGAGCTGTAAATCTTTTTTGCGGTAGTAACTGAATCATATGTAACCAGAAACGTGCTGGTGATGTGGCCTGACTCGTAGAAAACTTGAGAGTCAAATCTGAATAATGGAATCAAAGGATTTAGCTAAAGTGATATGAATTACCAAATACCAAATTCAACCTAAATCCAAAATAATAGATTTTACCGGCAAATGTTGCACCATCAGGAACCTTTACAAATCGTCTTTCGATATGACCAGGACCAAAGGACCAATTGTTGAAGGACACTTTAGAATTGGATAAAATAATGGGTCTAGTGACAGTAACAGGTACCCTAAACAAAGGTCCACGATCTGGACAAGTTGTATCATAGCCCTATGTGAATGCGTAATTTAATTAAATTAATTAACATAAAGATGACCAATGCGAAATAAACCTTATTACGTTATTTGGAAATTTATACTCACTTCAACTTCAGAATAATAAAATCCGCCTGGATTTAATTGTGTCGGATCAACTTTGACTTCAAATGATCTTCCTATAAAAATATGGAATATTATACAAACATGCAGGAATGTATATATATTTCTCTTCTCAATTAATATTTACCTTGACTGCCCATTAGCAAGAAATCTGGAGAACGAACCCAAGGTTGTGTGCAAACCAGTGCCAATCGTGTTTCAAATTCAAATTTCTTTGAATTATTTTCTCCAGTTGTCGGTTCGATTTCTTTCATAAATTTTGGTCCGATAGATACATTAAATAATTGTACACTTGAAGTTTCATTTTCTTCTCTCAAATATATACCACGGTTTTTTAGAGAGCTATTATTTATTCTAACCTATATTTAAATTATTATATGTATAATTAAATATAAATATGGGCAAATTATCCCTATAAATATTTAAATGCGCTTACTTCAAATGAAATATCTTGATCTTCTCGATCGTAATAAGTATTAAGATATTCCCATGTTTTTTGTACTTGGAGTAATCCTACTCCAAAATTTTCATTAATTGATTTGCTACTATTTGAAATTGCATTTTTAATCCTGAATGGAGTATACGGTTTGTTTTCAGCTTTGAGCCCAGACAAAAGTAATGCAATACATCCTGTCGCGTTAGGGGAAGACCTAGAAATCACCAAAAAAAATTTTAATGATTAATCTCAAACAAGAAGAATAACAAAAAATATACGAGTGTATATCAAAATATTGTAATTTATGACGTTACATTGATGTGCCATTCATTAACATAGACTTTGTCAAAGAATAAAGGGGCGTTGATGTTATTGCACTACAAAATTATAAATGTGAAATTTAGTAACGATAATTTAGAAATTATAATAAGAATGTAACATAACACAATTACCCTCCAGGAGCATAAATTGTAACACCAATATCACCATCAGTGTTAGGACCCTGAGAACACCAAGTATAGGATCTTTCAGGTACAGATTCAAGTAGTGCGTATTCAGCTTGAATCATGGAATGAGAAACATAGGCGCCAACCCCTATGACATCTAAGAGCGATTTTCGATATGTTATAAAATAATATTTGAAAAAAAAAAAATTTTCAATATTTGTTGTGTTTGCTTACCACTTGTTGTACCACCAGGTGACCCATTTGTGCTCAAAGCAGGTCCACTGTTCCCCGCACTACTCACGAAAATACATCCGTATTTGCCGATAACTTCATCACGAATTAATTCAATAAAATGGCCGAAATCTGGGATAGAACTTGCCTCACCATAACTCATATTTGCGAGATCACACTTTTTTTCGACAAGCTCAATAGCAGCTCTTGCCAATCCCGCGCCTGTTTCCATACTTCCTAAACGAGTATCACCAATTTTAAGAGAAATAATCTATTTATCACGATTGATATCGATTTAGTTGGTAATTCGTTACAATAATCGTGCAAAGAAATTTAAAATATTCGTACCTGAGCACCCGGAGCAACCTAGAAATTATGAGAACATAACAAATTTTAAGAAATAATAAATTATAATGGAATTCTAATTCATCTAAGTATTTCTTTGAATATTAAATACCCCATTAAGTGCTGGCTCTTCAGGATGATATGCCGCAGTAATAGCAGCTACGTGGGTCCCATGAGTGCCAGCAGCCGTAACAATACTAATAAGATTTAGTCGATAATAAAATAGATTAAGGTATATGTAAATAAAAAATTACAAAAATAAATAAGAGCATTACCTGACTATATTCCCTTCATCATATATATTTACGGAGAAACTAAACAAATCTTCTTGACTAAATTTATGATATTGCAGTTCCTTATGGTAATCAGTTAAAAGTGGAGCACCTAATTTATTTAACAAATTGGGAATAATTTAGGACATGGTACATCAACGTACAAGGTCATTTCACCGATAATTCACCTCGCAAGTCACCACTTTCATCCACATCAACCACAACCCTCCAATCGCTACCATCATTGAATGCTACAACATCTAAAATTATGCCAGGATCGTCATAATTCTTTAATGCATCTTTAAGAACCTCCAATCTAGCTTCAAGGTCAGTTTTAATAGCAAGATCAGATTCTGTTGGCGTCGATGAAGGAGAATGTGCTTCCTCCCAAGCAGCAAGCTTTTGTTGTACTTCAACAAGAATTTGATAGTGTTCAGACTCAAATTTTTGTCGACGTTCCTAAATTATAAGTTATTGTTAATACTTTAATATAACTGATAAGCAAATTTATTCTATATTCTAGAAAAAAACCTGTGTTAATCTCGTGATCAATTCTTTGGGGAATAATTCATAAGCTCTTTTAATGCCAACATGAAATTCTCCAGAAGGATTGTCCCAAGTTGGATCAATAATAAGACATCGGCCTGATAACCCTACTATAGTGTGCAAAGTTTCCTTCGAACTTTCCTCCTTACTTGTTTTCACAATAGTTTTTGTATCGACATCACCTAATAATAAATCTCAAAAAAATTAATAAGAAATCATGTTAATAGAAACAGAAAAAAGATTATGGAAACTCAATAAATACCGGATCCTGTACAATCAATAATATCTATAATTTTCGGCTTTCCTTCAGTAGTTTTCTTAAGTAATGATTGTTATTAATTTTTGATTTTGTTAACCGTAAATGACAATTATTTTATAATATAAAACTGAGATCTTACTTGCAGGCCTACTGCACCAGGATCAACACCGGTGTCCAATATAGCAATTACAGTTCCACGACCGTCATATTCAGGATATTTTTTTAGAAAAGCAGCTGCTTCAGTTTCCTAATATTAATAGATCAATTATATAATAATCTTTCTTTTTTTTTTGCTTTTTTTGTGAACTAATTGGTTAACTGACCTCTTTAGGAAGTAGACCATATGTAGGAAACTTAGGTATGGGCTTCGATGTTTTAATAGTCATTTTAGTTTCTTAATCAATTATTCCAGTTTAAAAAATATCAAAATTTTCGATAAAAGAAGTATGAAATAGAAAAAAAATTTAACATATAATAGAATAAAGAACGACAAAGTCTTTAAAAAAAGAATATTTGACTTGTGCTAAAAATTTTTGTTATTTTATGAGTGTGACAGAATCACATTTCACACAGGGATCCGAAATCCATATATAAAGAACTCACTTTTCTTTCGATATGTATAACTAAATAATCAATAATTTATAGTATAAGGATAAAAAAAAAACGTAATCATTGAATTTATGTTGATACATTGATAAGATAGTATCTTACTTTTTAGTAAAAAATCCTATAGAAACGTAACGACTTTGATGGTATCTTTGGGTCCAATTTTTATTACACACAAAATTATTTGTAATGTTTATGGTGGTCAATGAAATATGCTGACCCCTTCTTTTAAATATTTTAAATACAAATAAATTAACAAAAATATTAATCATTCCACACCTTTTCTCAGGGTCTAATTATGAAATAAGATACCGTCAAATCCAATGTTTCTTGTCGACAAAATTAAGAATATTTCGTCCGATAAAAAAATTTTTTCAGGTGACAGATTATAGATTAGATTATTCCGAAATTAGATCTAAGTAACATATTTGGAAATGTAATAAGTCGCACATAAAAAATTCCAGAAAATTTTAAAAATGACAAATAGTGAATAACTTTTTATTTAACAAAAACAGTATGTTGAATTACGTCGTGAAGACCAGAAACTAGGCAACGATTGACTTCTGTAATAATAATTTCCATCTGTAGTCCGGTCCTAAATATTAATTGAATTCTGAATTTGGTAATGCAAGACAAAAAAAAAAAAATATCCTATTAAGTAAAATTTTTCGAATCTGAAAAATAAAATTATTTTACTGGATCAAAGAAGATTTGAATTTTCTGCATTCTTTTTATTTTGCGTGTTTAATTTGTGGCCATATCCATCTGTCATTTAACGAGATTTTCCGAAAATTATAATAAAATGGAAAATCGTTAAATTATTCTAAATCCTAACGAATCATCAGTAATAATTCCTAGATCTTATTATAACCAATCATTTTTACTTTAATAATCGAAATATCTCAACTTTATTCTTTGTATTTTGATTTCTTAAGGCTTCAACAACCATTGTTACGTTCAGCAACATAAGTCCACAAACAATTCCAATTTTTTTTTTATAAGAGAATTTGATCTCTAACTCATTTCAACTGATATGTTCCATATATGACACTTTTGAAGATGCTAGATATAATCGAAATGATTTACTCTGTGATGGACAAGTTGGATGAATTCTTTAGTGATTTTAATAAAATAGTAAAAATAGTAATATTAAATTCATCACATATTTAATATGGCCTTAGGGATTTGATTCTATTGAAACTTAATGAATATTATTAAGCATAACACAGAAAAAAAATATTTGAAAATAAGTTTGTTGAATTACTATAGCAATTATAGTTATAAAAAAAAAGAAATTTCTGGGTAAAACTTGTTTAATTTGTAAAGTAATTAAAAAAATTGATTATTGGCTTAATAGTTGAACTAAACAGAAGACAATTATATAATAATATTACCGTATATAGCGGGCTACAGTACCCAGGTATCTTGCAAAAATTGAGGGTTTGACCCTATACCCTTGGAATACTAAACAAAATTTAAAAAAATTTCATTTTTTGCAAATATCTTATGATCTACTAGTCCAATTTGAGTGATCTTTTTTATTTTAAAGAGCTTAATGAGAGCTATCAAACAAAAAAAACACAGGTCAAAAAGTGAAAAATCAGGCATCAATCAGTTACCAATCGGTCACCAATCAGGTACCTGATTGGTAACCGATTGGTGCCTGATTAGCATTTTCATCAAATACCGTCACCAATCAGGCAGTTTGCTAACTTTTGATCCAGTGATCAGAAAAGAATGAAATATAGCTCATTAGAATCGTCTC